TCTCTCTCTCTTTCTCCCTCTCACTCTCTCTCTCTCTCTCTCTCTCTCTCTCTCTCTCTCTTTCTCTCTCTCTTTTTTTTCTCCCCCTCTCTCTCTCTCTCTCTGTCCGCGAGGTGCGCGCGGTGGTGCCAGGGCAGCTCCTGTGCCTCCAACATCGGCGTGCACCTATCGTCAGCGCGGTCTTCGCTACCATAGACCGCGTCGCCCCTTGGGGCGTCCAGGCGAATGCCATTCCTCGAGGTAAGTTACATTGCGCTTTTCGAGGTCGTCGGCTTCGAGTCCTTGCCACGCGACCCTGGGGATGGCGCGCGCGCAATTCCGGCGCCCAGGTGATGGGCCAGGCGTTCATGCGCGACGCTTACGCGGGCGCAGGCGCAGTTCTTGGGGCGAGAGATGGCGCCGCGCCTGGTCCGCCAGACATGCCGGGCGCGAGCTCTGGCCCGCGCCAGTGCCGTTCGCAGCGACGCGGCAGGGGCGGGTCAAATTGACTTCGAGGCTTCATTGGCCAAGATGCAATCCACCTTCAGGGGCGCCCTGAAGCCGGATGACAAGATTCACCGCGAGGCTTTCCGCTCCGCGGGGGGGGGCCGCGGCCCGACGCGCCCCATCCCGTGGAAGAGCCCATCGCAGCGCGCGCCATTGCGCGAACGCAGAGGATTGCGAGGCCTTGATTTGGACCCGGGATGTTCGTGCGACTTCGTCCCGGCGCCCTCCTGTGGCTCGTCGTTCTTCCGCGCCCTCTCCACGTCGACGTTCCTCAGGTTTAGAACCCGCGGTCGGTTTCTCCCGGTGCGCGAACCGCCCCCGTCGCGTGCAAGGCCGTCGATCGCCGACCTCCCAGTGGTGATGGTGGGGGCGGCATGCGGCCTGTGGCCAGCTGGCGCTGCGAGGGGCTCTGGCGTGGAAGCGGGCGTGCACGGCCCCGCTGCTGCGCGTGCGACGGGGTGTCTGCGCGGAGCGCGAGCGGTTTCGCTTGCCGGCCTAAGCGGGTGGATGGGCGCAGCGAGCATCGACGTGGATGCTCGAGGGATGTCTCGGCCACCGCTTTCAACGCGCGCTGTGAGATGCATTGCGGCTTCGCCCCGGGCGACGCTTCATTCGGCTTCCACCCGCTTCTCAGGCGCGGGCTTGGCGGGGGCGGTCATCGCGCAGCGCGCGCAAGCAACCTTTTTCCCTACCTAGGCTCTGCCTAGAAGGGTTCTTACTCTCTTGGCTTAAAGGGCCGGGCAGTGGGGGCCGGCCTATGGGGGGGGCCCCCAGCGTCCGCCCCGCGGTTCCCCCAGTTGCGCCCCCTTAGCTTAGCTTTGCTTATTTCAGTTTAGCTTAGCCTAGCTTAACTTAGCACTGCTTAGCTGAGCTACTACTACTACTACTACTACTACTACTACTACTACTACTACTACTACTACTACTTTTATTACTACTCCGACACATAATACTATTACTGCTACCGCTACTGCTAGCTTTTGCATAGCTTAGCTTAGCTTAGCTTAACTTATCTTAGCTTAGCTTAGCTTAGCTGAGCTACTAGCTTAGGTATTAAGCTGTACTATTACTATTCGTATTATGCTTACTATTACTACACCAACAGCAACTACTACTACTACTACTACTACTACTACTACTACTACTACTACTACTACTACTACTACTATTACCGCTACTGCTGCAACTGCGACGATGGGGAGAAGGAGGAGGACGGCGTTTACCGTTACTAGCAATACTGCTCTCCTCGGGGCTCCAACCCCTAGGCAAGGTCGCTCTGGGATCATTTGTCCGGGGGGGTGGGGGCCGCTCTCGGGCAGGAGGAAGTGAGGCAGGCTGCCGGCGGTGCGACCCAGAACGATGGACCCCCCCGCATCGTTGTCGATGACGACGACCGCGAGTCCGCCGAAGACGAGGGTGAGGAGAAACCCTGAGAGCCATGGCGCGGCGGTTTCGATCCGGATGCCATCGAGGTGCTTGGGATCATTCTCAGAGACGTCGACGACGGGTCGAGTGTCGGACGGCCCCCCTTGAGGGCGCAGTGGGCAGACCTCGGGGATGCCGAGAGCGATGGCGACGCCTGCGACGCCGACTTCGAGCGGCGGCGCGCGCGCGACTGGGCGGGAGTGGTCACCGGCAGTCACCTCGCCGCCGCGACGGCAGCCAGCCAGGCGGGTCGCAGCCGGCGTTCAGAGAAGCGCGCCGCCCAACGGCGGGCGCGTCGAAAGCGGCGCCGGGCCGGCGACGCCCCCGCAGCCACTTGGCGGCCCCGCCGGAAGAGACGAGGTCGGGCAGGGCCCTCCTCTCCTGGGGCGCGCCAGAACGCGCGCCGTCCCTGTGCGCTGCGCTTGGGCTGCCGTGGGGGATCGATGAAGTCGATGAGGCCCGCGCGGTCTGCGCGGGACAACTAGCCCCCCGCCCCGCGGGGGATCATGGGGTCGGTTCCCGTTTTCTAAATTTCGTGCGTCTCTGTGCCCTTGGGGGGGCGCATGCGCGACGCGCATCCCCCAGATGCCCTCGACGTCTCCCGGGGCGTCTTCGTCTTCGTCGACGTGCCCCCCGCATTTTGTAAAGCAGAGAGTCATTGGCCACTTCGAAGCTAAGATGGCGGTGGGCATCAAGAGTGGCCTAGGGAATGAACGTCTTTGTGCGACTTCGCCCTGGACCTCCCCAGCTGTTTGGTCGTATTGTTCGTTTTCATGTTCGCGGCTGTCCCCCAGGTTCCAACTTTCGTTCAATTGCTCCTGATGCGCAACTCGTGGCCATCGCGAGCAACGCCGCGATCGGCGCCTCCGCGCGGGACCGCGACGCGGCGCGGAAACGCGGGCGTGGGGGTGGTCGACGACGGTGTCACTTGGCGCCCTGATCGACGTGTTCGCGCCGCCCAGCAAGCTGGGTAGGGCTGCCGGGTGTTTCGATGACATATTGAGCTCTGGCGCGCCCTTGTGCGGTGACCCTCGATGCTCTCATCGAGGCGCGAGCAGAGGGGTCGGGCCCGGCCGCGGCGCAGCGCTGGCTCTTGCGGAGGGGGCGGGTCGCCTGCCTGAGCCCCGACGAGGACTTGTCATAGCGTCATGAACGCACGCGCTACGCTTCGCCTCTATGAGCGAGCAGAGTGCTGTCTCGGTGAGATGATCAGGGCAGATATCAGATTCGACGTGGTCGGAATTGCAGCTGTCGCGCATGCGTGTGCCAAGGTCGGTGACTTTGCCGGGGCTTGGCGTTGGTTCGACTACGTGCTGCGCTACGAGCTCGTCGCTAATCTGTTGTGCTGCAGCGCCATGCTGCGCGCGCGCGCTCAGAAGGGTGCTGCTGTGGCTAGATCGCGGTTCGGCAGACGAGATCTCGTTGAATCGCATCCCCGGCGCCGCCGCGCAGCAGGGAGGCGCCGCCCGGCGGACAGGGCGGCGCGCGCCGGGAGGCGCCCCGACCGCGTGACCTCCCGTGCCCTGGCACGCGCCTTCCCCCCGACGTTCCAGGGGGGCAACCCTGGGGCCTCGGCCGAGATCCTGGCCTGCAGCGCGATCGTCGAGGCGCGCGGCAGGGCCGAGGGCCCTAACGCACTGCGTCGGCGCGCGCCAGGGGCAGCGCGTCGCTTCATCCGCGCGAGATGCCGGCGTCAAGGGGCGCTCGCGCTCGTCGGCGCGACAGGGTCTGGGGGGCTTCCAGACGCGGGGCGCGCCGCGGGCCCGACGCCCCCGCGGCGGAGCCGCAGCGGCCGCTTTGCGCGCGGCGCCGCCAGCCGGCTGGCCCGAGAATCTGCGTTCCAACCTGCGGTCTGCGATGCCCGTGGATGTCCTGGACCGCGCGCGCGTTCCCTCCCCTCGCGCGTTCAACGGGCGTGCGACCTTGGCCGAAAGGCCCGAGTAGTCTGTCCATTCCGCATCGCGATGGGAAAGACAACTGCGCTGCGGAGGGGGAAGTCTCCCAAAATTTGAGATCGCAATCTGCCTGGGTCTTCTCGACCGTCGCCAGCAGGCAGCAGCGCGCGCTGGAGTCGGCGCGCGCAGCCCCCCTGCGTTCAACTTCGTGCTGGCGGGCAGCGGCGCCTGCTCGCCCGGTGGCGCCGCAGGGCAGCGGTCGTTGGCGACGCTCGGAAGACGGTCTTGCCAGAGCTGCGTGCGTCGTCGACGTGGGCCAGCGCCTTCGCCTGATTACAGCGGGCTGTCAGGCGATGCTTCGTCCGCGGAAGTTCGTTTGATGCCGGGCGGCGTTTGCGGCGTCGACCCCGCAAACGCCGCGCGCGAATGCGCGCGGCCAACGATCGTTGGCCGCGCGCGTTCGGAGTTGTTTATTTGCGCGTCCGAAGACGCGATGCTTCCGAATCGCGAGTCGCTGTTCTTCGCATTTTTATCCCGGCGGCAAATTGTCCAGCGCGCGCCGGCACATGTTGCCGTTATCTTCGTTCGCTTCGGGCTGGGGCGCCGGCGGCCGACGCCCCGACGCATCCCGCTCGGCCCGCTTTGGATTTGGGCCCTTGTGGCGACCCGCGGCTGCCGCGAAGTCAAACGTCATGGGGTTCTCGTAAAACGCCCCCCGTGGCGATGGAGCGAGCGGCCTGCGCGTCTGCTGCGGGGGGCGGGCGGTCTCCTGGAGCTTTCTATGGCTTTAGAGTCTCCCGGGGGCCCCCTGGGGCTCGTCGGGGTCTTGGCCATCCTCTCGATGGGCCCCGCGTCGATCCCATCGTAGATGATGGGGGCGTCTGAAAATGCGCCCCCCCCCTGGGCCGGGCGGGGCGGGCGGCCGGGGGCAGCGGCGGCGGCGCCCATGCATCGCGAATCTTCTTTGTGGGCGAGTTTTATGCCAGATCTGCTTGCAGCGCGCGCGCGCACTGCGTGCTCTCGCGGGCTCGCGATATTTAGGCCCTGGCGCGCGCCGCGGAGGGCGGCCGAGAACTGGTCCGCGCCCCCGCCCCGTGCCGTCGATTCCGATCTCCCAGTTCTGAAGGGCAGTTATTGTTGATCCGCCCGCGGGCGTGCCGTAGTTTTTCAATCGAAGTGTGCCCCCCCCCCCCCCCCCCCCCTGCGCTCGCGCTTGGTTTTTGCCGAAGGCAGTATTGGGGCTCGAGGTGCGTCATTGGGTTCCCGGCTGCAGCAGCGACGGCCCCCGCCTGAGACTTCCTCGCGATTTATTCCGGAATCGCGCTCACGCTTGAGGCCGCGCTTTTTACTTGACTCGCACCCTCTATTCATTCTCTTATAATCGCACTCTCGCCGCTCAGGAATCGGGCTCTCGCCTTGGAATTTCCCTCCAATCCAGGGATCGCGCTCTCGCCTGGGACTTTCTCGCTATCCATTCAAACCTTGCAAATAGCTGTCCCGCCTGGACTGCCAAACGTGCCCGCGGGATCCGGCCGTCGGGGCCCGCCCGCACGCCCGCCCCGTCAATGGGGGCTCGACCGCCCGCCCCGCTCGTGCGTTGCGCCCGTTCGTATGCTTGCCCCTCCCCGCCCGGCTTGCATTTTTTAACGTAATTTCCGTCGCCCGCCTGGCCTGCCTGGCAGGGTCCGCGCGCCCAGCCCGGCCGCTTTGACATGTCGCCCGCCCCAACCCAGCCTGCCCTGGCCGCCCGGGCCCGCCCGCCAGGCCCGCCCGTTCGGGCCCGCCCCCTCCCGACCCGCCCACTCGGGACCGCCCGCCCCGTCCTTTTTTTTGTGGTCGGGTATCGCCGAGTATTTTTTTTCTCGTCGGGTATCGCCGTGTAGTTTTGGCAAATCAGGCGCTCCCCCAGAAGGCGCATTCCGTGCTTCGCAATAAAAGCAAGGGGGGTCGCAAGGGCCGGCGTCGCTGACCCTCTGCCCAATGTAGATATGCATTCATGCGCGCTCTCTTCGCCTGCTTCCATTTGTTTCGAGCGCGCGCGTGCCCTGTGCTGTCCGCGCGTGGCGGAACGCAGCGATGCTGCATGGCCTGCGACCCCGTCGTTGATCGACCTGCCGGCCAAAGGCGTGGAGGTCACCGACGTGCTCTGGACTCTGAAGCAAGCTATTGGTAAGGATCTACGTTGCGATTTCTGCACAGCGATGCCCCGTCGCATTCGGCGTGTCGCCAAGGTCTGCGAAAAAAAGGACGTGTTTGGTGTATCGACACCCCCATCGTTCTGCCCAGAGAATGGATATACAAAAAACTGTGTGCGACTTGGCTTCGGTGCCAGGGAGGAAATGTGGTTTGGTTCAACGTGCTCGGACCTCATGCTGTCGTGCTGATGCATCTGGGAATGGTGTGTGGCGTGGGTGGTGGTCGTGGTGGTGGTGGTGGTGGTGGTGGTGCGTGTGCGTGGGGGTCTCTGCTGGAATCTATCAAGGATAATGTGGTGGATCATGCGCGGTGGCAGTTCGCGTATCGAGAAGGTCATGGAATGGCGAACATAGCGCTCATTGTGATTTTGTTGGCTTCGAAATGCATGCGAGGAGGTCTTGGCTATGTGCGTGGCTCCGCTGCTACTTCGAAAACATGTGCTCTGCGTGCCACCTCCGTTTACTGCAATATCTCCAACGACGCGGAACCCCTGATGCGATTGGTGCTAGGTTTTTCAGACAGATTCGTTCGATCCTTTTGGGGGTGCCTCCGCGGTGGCTGCGATCGCGCGCGGCGTGCTTCAGGGCTTCGCATGGAAGCAAGTTTTTCCCCAACGGTGCTGACCGACTGCTTGCATCCTGTTTTGCAGAAGAGTATTGATGACAAACTGGGCGTTGCCCTATTGGATATTGTTTACAGTGGTCACCAATATCATAACTTGTGTTAAAAAGGTATATTACGGGATGCGTGTCCTTTAGTGTGTGGAGCGACAATGAATTTATTCAGGCGAATTCTATCCTTGATGCTCGTGAGATTTCTGAAAAATGCGGTGTTGCTCTCACGTTGTATGGCTGGATTCCGCCTAGGGGCAGGATCAAGCTGCTGATGCGCTCTACGGGGGGGAAGCACCCTTGGGCAAACGCTTGGCCATCGACGGAAGTTGTGCGGCATGACGAGGTGTTCAAAGTCATTGCGACTTGTATGAGTTCTGGGGCCAAACTGATCAATGCATGAGGGCTAAGTCATTTACTGCGTTGTCGGCGGTTGCATTACTTGAAAGTCCCGTGGTGGCACCCGCGAACTTGCGTATTTCGTGCTTCGGGCTCATCTACAGGGTGGCGCTTCGCCCGACAAGTGCGCCCACGGATCAAGCAACTAATAGTTTATGAACGTACTTGGGATGCTGATGTCGCTGCTTTGGGGGAGGGGGTGGTGTTTTTGACATGTTGCTAGACGGGCCGTTGCCGACCCCGATTACATCCTTGCCCACATCCTCAATCGGAACTCCCAGGCTCGCGCAGTACATGGATAGCGGGAAAGCGAAACGGAGGAGGTGGGGCGGAAATGTTCTCGGCAAACGACCCGGGAAGACCAGCTTGTGATATACTACTACCCCCGAGAGAGATGCCCCAGGACAGGTCAGGACGCGTTGGAGACAGAGTGATAGGGGATACGTAACGTGGACGTTGGGTGAGTCAGGTGGGTGAGCCAGCATGTAGTAGTTGTAGTTGTCACTTCTTCTCCCTTTCGCTCTCTCTCGCTCCCCTTGTCTCTGACGCTGCCGTTGCCCGCGACGCTCAGCATTTAGTTGTTGTAGGCAGTCGGACGGCCCCCCCTCTGTCTCTTAGGACTGCCACCACCACAATGAAAGAACGGCCTTTTGCCCATACCCGCCGAGTTCAAATCAGACCCCCCAAATCAGACCACTCGTTTTTTTTTACTTGGAGAACGACCGCAACTTGGACGAGGGGCGCAGGAGGCGGCGGGCGACGACGCGACGACACGGAGGAGGGCCTATGGCTGCCTCTTTGCCCTTTTCATTTCACCCTCTCCATGTCTTCCCCTGTTCTCCCCTATTCGTCCTTTCCTCCTCTTCCCTTCCCTCCTTGCCATCGTCCTCCTCATCCCTTATCCCAATTTCTCCGCCTGTCTCCTCATCCTCCACAATCCTCCTACTCTCTTCCTTTCCTCCCCCTTTTCATCCTCATGCTCTCACATACTTTCCATCCTGACCCCTCTGCCACACACTCTTCCCCCGGTTCAATCCGCCTCACTCGTTCCCCCTCTCCTACCCTTCCCGATTCCTCCTCCTCCCTCCTCCCATCGTCCATCTTCTGCCTCGTTCCCCTGCCACCTCCCCTCTCCCTGCCTCATTCCCTTCCCCGACCTCTTTCCTCCAAGAGCTCGGTTCATGTCTGTCCTGGCGTTACAGACCCACTCTCCCAAGAGTGGCCTGGGGGGCGGTCCGACCAGAAGATCAAATCGGGTCCGTCCGAGGAGACTCAAAACCTCGCCCCTCGATTCCCCAGGACCCCCTTCCCGCTTCCCCCTCCACCCCCAGACCTCCCACCCCCCGTCCCCATCCCATCCACCCCGTCTTGGGGGCCGACGGGCGCCCCTCCCCCTCCTTTCCCCTCCCCCTTTTGGGCCCCTCATCAATTGTCCCACCGCCCTTCCTCCCCTCCCCCCATCCCCCCTTTCCCTGCATCGCTCTCTCCCGCTTGCTTCCCCCACATCCCTCCTACCCCGCAAGGCCCATCTCGATTCGCTCGGTCCGATTCGATATTGATGATGGCCCGCCCGATCCGATTCGATTCAGGTATTATGCTGATGATCCGATGCGGCCCGATGCTTGCATGGCGCTGTTGTGCATCCTGGCGCGGCCGATCCGATTCGATTTCGATCCCGTGCCGATGCAGCCCGATCCGACGCACATGCCGATCCGATCCGACTTCCCGATGCGATGCTGACTGATCCTGCCCGCTCCCCGCCTCCCCCACCAGCCCCCCCCACCATCCACCTCGTGGCGTCCGACGGGCGCCCCGCCCCCCGAGAGGCCCGAGAAGCCTGATGACCTCCTGGAGGCCCGGGACAGTGTGCCTCCAGGATGCCCGAGAGGCCTCGAAACCTCGGACCCCCGATCCTCGATGCACCAGGGATCCCCTCCCGCCTCCCCAGGCTTCTTTTGCTCCCATCCGCCGCATCGCATCGCATCGCAAGCCAACGGTCACTGTCGACTCGCAGCCTATCAACACCCTCCACCTTAACAAATATCACATATCAGATACGCGGACGACATCATGATTTTTGCGGCATCACGCGTGGATCTCATCACAATGGCCACAGCGCTAAGAGAGGAACTTGCGAACGTGGGTCTCAGCCTGCACGACGGAAAGACCAAGGTACTCACGACAGTATGCGACATCAACGTGAGTCCGCTGGAAATCGGAGGCGAGCCCGTGGACGTGGACGTCTTGAATGGCGACATGGCCCACAACTGTTGGGGAAGGAAGCTGTGCGGCAACCTGCTTTCGAGGAGTTCCTTTGAGATTGGCCATCGTGTTCAAACAGCATGGATGATATTCCATGAGCATCGTGACACTTTGATGGACAAGCAATCGAGTATACACTTCCTGATCAAGTTCTTCAACGCAGGAGCCACTCCAACGATATTGTTTGGCCTCTCGTCTTGTGCGATGGCACGGTCACCAATCAGCTCATTAGTAGATGTGCTTCAACGGAGAATGTTACGAACCATCTTTGGTTGGATTCGTATGGAAGGCGAGCCGTGGGACGACACACTGCGGAGGATGATGTCGAACGTAAATGCTGCCCTAACATCATTTACACTGCAAGACTGGAGTGTCCAGTTGCTACGACGGCATGGCTCACCGAGTAGACACGATGGCGGACAGCTGGCCTGCAAGAGTATCGCGTTGGTACCCATCTGCGACATGTCCCAGGGCTGAGCGGTCACAGGCACGGCCCGCGATGAGATGGGACGAATATCTGCGCAAGTTTGCGAAAGAGTACTTTGAAACTGGATGGTATGAAGTGAGTTTGGACAATGAATTTCTCGAGTGCTAAGAAGACTTCGTGCATGTGTCATTCGGGCTCCAACTGTGATGCCCGAGGTCAACACAGCCGCGCCTAATCCTGGGCCGAACATTGGCTCGATCGGACTGCCTGCCTGCCTGCCACCCTCCACATCCTTCTGGGGGACCGCCGGGCGCACCGCCCCCGGGAGGCCATCCTGAGCCCGCCGACCGAGCCGCTCTGCGACGAGGACGCCGGCGGGCCCGGCCCTGGCGAGACGGGAGGGGTGCTCGCCTCCCTCGGGGAAAGAGATCGAGAGATCGAGAGAGCAAGCGGGAGAGGAGGAGGAATGGAATGGAATGGAATGGAATGGAAGGGAACGGGATGAAATGGGATGGAATAGAATGAAATGGAATGGGATGCAATGGGGTGGAATGGGATGGGATGAGATGGGATTGAATGGAATGGGACCTGGGGCGGACGAGGTGCCCGCCTTGCCGCCGCGGCGGCAGCTGCTCGGCCAAGAACTTCGAGTACTCGTACTCGGTGCCAATGCCCTCGAACACCGTGTGGGGGAGGGCGGCGGCCCGACCAGCAAGCTGGCAAGCTATTGTCGCCGCCCTCCCCCCGCAGCCTGGAGCCCCACCTCCGCCGAATGCTCGACCTCGACAGTGTCGCCGATCTCGCCGAGCAGCTCCAAGTGCCTGCCCAGCCACACGAGGCTGAGCGCGTCCAGTGCGCCCTGGGCCTGATTGCTCTGGCCAGCCAGAGCCCACAGCCCGCCCTCGTCGACTTTGCCGTACGCATTCGGAAGTGCACCAGCTTGCACCTGCGCGAAGACGTGCTCGCACCAGGGCTCCAGGAGGTCCGCAAGCGACTGGTGGGACTTGATGAGCCCCTTCTCTGCGGCCTCCCCGATGACCTCGTCCAAGAGGAGGCGCCATGCTGCTGCAGGAACGACGCGGCCCTGCATAACGGGCGCAGCCAAAGCAGCACCTTCGGCACGGTCCTCCTGTCCCCCTGCGTTTCCGCGGTCGGCACGCAAGGCCCCACTACCGGCGCCTCCTCGGATTGCTCCTGCTCCTCCTCCGACGCTTCCTCCGACGCATCGTCAGGAGAGCCCACGACGCAGACGCTGTGCTCTCAGGACGACGGGAAAGGCGGAATCCTAGCCAGTGCCTGCACCCGCGCCCGCCCGCCAACGTCCTGGAGAGCACCATCTCCTGCAGCGTGGCTTCCACAGGGGCCGCCTCCTCGGGCCCGAAGAAGAAGGAGAAGAAGGAAAAGGATAATAATAATCAAGACATATAATATTAAGAAAAATAAAATGAGGCATAATTTGATCACCGAGTAGATCTCCTCCGCCCCCCCACTGTGCCGACGAGCCCCGCCTGCACCCTGGGCAGCGCCTCCATCGGCCCGATGAGCCACTCCATCGCGACACCGCTTGTAGTGCCACGCCTGCGCGCGGGCCTCCATGAGGTCCTCGGCGAGCGCCTCCGCGACTGCGTCGAAGTACTTGCCCTTCTTGTCCACGTTCGCGAACTGCTACACCTGGACCTCCTGCTCGGTGCCATCTGCGCCCTCGAGAACGGCTTCGTCGTCCTTCGCTTTCGCGTTTGCGATCTTCTGCTTCTCAACCTGCTCGGTGCCGTCCGTGTCCACGACAAGGGCCTCGTCGTCCAGCGGACCCCGAGCGGCGACGCTCCCAGCGGCAGCGCGTCCGGCGGCCTCCCGGCGCTTGCCCACTCGCGCGGAGGCGCCCGCTGCGCGGACGAGATCGTCGTCGGAACTGCCGTTGACGACACCGTGCAGGACCACGCACCACCTGCTCTCTCTTCGTTGGCCTCCCCTCGCGCTGCGACCGCACCCCAGGGCTGGGTCGGGAGCTGAGGTTCTGCCGATGGTGGGCCTTCACAGGGTGGACTCACAAAGATGCACTGTGGGCCCACCGTGGCATTCAGGGTCCCCTCGATTTTCTCGGTCCCAACTCCCTTGACCACAGCAAAAGGTGCCTCGAAGCCCTCGAAGCGCTGCACCGTCGCCACCTCCATCGTCGGGAAGGCGACAACGGGGGAAGCTCGCCGCGCTCCTGCACCAGCGCCTCGCCCGTGCCTTCGCCGCATATCTGGATGGTAGGGAGGTCCCCGATGAAGACCTCGACCGGTGGGCCTGGCCCAACGACTCCTCCCAGGACCTCGCACTCGTTCTCCGCTGATCCAGGCTGCTCCAGCGAAGAACCCGGCAACCATCGCGTCCGCGACGGTGTACGAGTACACCTCGAATTACACTTCCCCCCGGCGGGCGATGAGGAGCGGCTTGCCGAATGCCACCTTCTTCATCGCCTCGTCGCCGCCGGCCCCCCGCAGACGAGCCGCTCTGCAGTGCGCCCGCGGAAGCTCTGCGGGTTCCCCCCCGCCAAAACCGGCACAGCTGAGGAGGAGGAGGAGGAGAAGGAGGAGGAGGAGGAGGAGGAGGAGGAGGAGTCGTTCCGTGAAGCTCTTGCAGTTTGTCAAAACGAATGTGCGCGGCGCTATGGCGAGAGCCACATTTTGAAAACGACCCGCCCTCAAGCCGCGACGCTTTTGCAATTTTTTGAGGCCGAATGCGCGTGGCGCTAAAGCGAGAGCCACATGTGAAGCTTTTCACAAGCAAAGTTTCAGAACCATACCTGGCGAGGACGTCTCAGGCGAAAATCCCCGCCCGCCCTTCCGAGTGGCCTCGGGGTGCGACAGAGAGAATTTTGCAGAAGGAGAAGGAATGGAGGAGGATGAGGAGGATGAGGAGGAGGAGGAGGAGGAGGAGGAGGAGGAGGAGGAGGAGGAGGATGGAGGAGGAGGAGGGGAACGAAGAGGAGGAGGAGGAGAAGGAGGAGGAGGAGGAGGAGGAGGAGGAGGAAGAGGGGTGCTGCCGCTTCTGCTCTGTTCTTCACTCATTAGTCTTCTCGTTTCCCCGTTTCCTTCATTTCATTTCGGCATGGAACCTGCTGCCGCAGACCGAACCGAACCAACGGCACCTTTTGTGGAACCGAAATGGGGCACTACTGGTGCACGTTTTGTCGCCCCACGCATTGTTTATCGCCTCCCGAAAATCATTGCCCGACCGCCTTCCTCCGGGAGAGAGACCGAGAAAGCGAAAGAGCGCGGGAGCGAGACGGAGAGGAGGAGAAGGAGGAGGAGGACGACGACGAGGAGCAGGAGGAGGAGTAGGAGGAGGAGGAAAACCAGTGTACACTTAAGATCCACGAGCGATGTTGCAACACACCCTCTCTGCAAGTCGCCTTTTTCACAGGGTCCTACACGGGTTCATTTTCACTGAGGGAAAGGCCCCGTTGGAAGGCAACCGCTTGAAAATCCCGAACTGTGCCACATCACCATTCCTGGGACTTCAACGCCGCGAATCACCGTTACTGTTGCGTTGCGTCTTGACGATCCTGAATCGTGTCAGCACACAGTTCCTGGGACTTCAACATGGCGAATCAACCAGAGTGTTGCGCCCTGACACTCCGACATCTTGCCAAACAGTATTCCTGGAACGTTAAAAATGAGACTCCTGGAAACTGCTGTACACTCTTATATGGGCGCGACGCTAAGGCGAGAGCCACACTTTGAAAACGAGCCGCCTTCCATCCATGAAACTTTGGCCTTGTGTAAGACGAATGTTCGAGGCGCGGAGGCGAGAGCCATATTTTGAAAAGGTGCTTCCCTCCATCTGTGAAGATCTTGCGCATTCTCAGCTTCAGGATATAGATGGTCAGGCGGTCTCAGGCGAATGGCCCAACCCGCCCTACCAACACGCCTCGGGGCGCGACAGGGAGGAGCCATGTATAAGGACAACGAATTGAGGAGGAGGATGAGGAGGAAAAGGAGGAGGAGCAGCAGGAAGAGGAGGAGGGGGAGGCGGAGGGCGACAACGAGGACCAGTGTAAACCCAAGACGTATCAACGTTGTTACAAGCAACTCTTGTTTCGAGTGCCTCATTTTTGAGTTCTTATAAGGTCTCTTCGATGTCGAGAAATGCCCCATCAAAAAAAACAACCGTATAAGGAACCTAGATGGAAGAGGATCAGGGGGAGGAATAGGAAGAGTAGGAGGAAAAGCAGGAGGAGGAGGGAAGGGAGGAGGAGGAGGACCTGTGTAAGCCCAAGACGCATCAACGATTTTCCAGTACACCCTCCCTCCTAGTTCCCTCTTCAAAAGTCCTAGCAATCCTGCGGCTGTCCCCCCGCAGGAGCTCTATGGGCTTGTCACCAGTGGTATTCTGTGATCGGTTCTGTGGCGGTAGCACACGTGCCTCTCACTGGCAGATGCTCTTTTGACGACTCGCCCCGCCGATGGGGGTACCTTGGGTACAGTTGCTGGTGGCACTTCGAGGTCTCCCGCTTACGCTGTGTGGTTCTCAGTTTAATGTTTGACGACGGCGGCGTTGTTCTCCCGCTTTGGCATACGCTTTGTCGGGGCGTGGTGAGTTTCGCCGAGGAGGTCGACGTCACAGGTGGGCCCGGACTCGGGTGTCTTCGGCTTCTGAGCCGCGTTTGAAGCCAGTTGCGCAGTCGCCATTTTCGCTGTTCGTTGGCCGCCCGCGCTCGGCGTCTGCTCCGGCCCTCTATAATTTAGGTCGCCACTGTCGGCTAGCTGGCCGTATTGTAGGCCTGACCTTCGTGCGACTTCGCGAATCTGCGCGGCTGTCCGCTTGCGGTGTGACCAAACAGTAAGCCCACCAGCCCATCCAGCAACAGTGCCCAGACGAGTGGGCCTGATCAGGGATGGGGGAGAGCACGCAGTGGAATAAAGGACTGGGCAATACGTCGTGCCCCAAGAGGGGGAGGATGAAAGAGGAATCGCAGGCGGATGAGGAGGAGGAGGAGGAGGAGGAGGAGGAGGAGGAGGAGGAGGAGGAGGAGGAGGAGGAGGAGGAGGAGGAGGAAGGGGAGGAGGAGGAGGAGGAGGAGGAGGAAGTGGCTTGGTTGGGGAGGATTCGCATCGATGCCGTCCTCGCGGCACAGCCCGCACCCGCACCCAACATCACCGTGAAAGTCGAAACCAACACAGCAACCCTGGGCGCAGGGGGGGCCGTCAATTATCAGGCGCATCTCGTGCTAAATCTGGAGGTCGCGGAACCGGCTCACCTCTCCACGGGGAGCTGACCGTCAGTTGGCTGGGGACCCGCAGGGCGACCCAGACCGGCGCCTCCAAAGAGCCATTTTGCCGCCTCTTCCTCAGGGTCAAGGGGCTCCACCAGGGGCTGAGAGGACACGCCAGGAACCTCCGAGAACACTTCTCCCTGGTCTCTCGGCGCGGCCACGGCAGACGAAGCAGGTCAGTGGGTCCCAGGGTCCACCGCCTTCCTGGCTCTGGCCACCTCTTCAGCACAGACACGCGCATGCATCGCTGCGAGGACCGACTTCGGCGGTCTCCAAGCGCGGGACGGACTTCGCCTCGCACGTCGTCTTGAGCTTCCTTGAGCACTACAAGGTATGTAGCTTGTGTGCGTCAGTGCTCTACGTTGACCTTTCCAAGGCGTTCGACAAGGCGATCCGCGAGCTCGCGCTTGGCATCCCATTCGACCATTCGATTGCGCGTGCCCGTCCGCTTACCTGTCGGGCCTCGGTTTCGCCGCCCATCAGGCCGAGTGGATCGTCGAATTCATCGCCGTCCACGGGCCTCTCATGCAGCAGTGGGGCGTCCCTGACAAGATTATCCGCCTCATCAAGAATCTGCACTCCAAGAGTTGGCTCAGCTACGGCGACCTGGACACTGCGATCCACGTGCGCCTCGGCGGAAAGCAAGGTTGCAAATACGGCAACGTCGCGTACTCGATCGGCCTGCTGCTCCTCAGAGATGCTCTCATCAAGGCCGGCGTGGAGTTGAGTATCCACGACCCTGGCCCAGACTTCCTCTTCTTTGGGGGTGGCCCCGCTGACGGCGACCTGGCGGGTAACGGGGAGGCAGGATTTGTCCCCCCACCCTCGCCCGACACCGCGGTCCCTGTCATTGACGTGGCCTTCGTTGATGACGAGTGTCTGCTGCTGTGCGCCAAGACCCCGGTTATCTTGGACCAGCATATTAACATCCTGCTCGAGTCGCTGTGTGGTATATGTGATCTGTTAGGCGTTGCCATCAAGTAGGAGCCGGGCAAAACGGAATGCAACGTCATCTACAGGGGCCGCAATGCAGCCTCCCATTACGTTACCAGGCTGGTCCCCACGGCGCTCTTCAGGTGAAGGTGCCTGGCTCCACCGACCACGTCACGGTCGTGCCCCAGTGCAAGCACTTCGGCGGCGTCACGGAAGCTGGCGGCAGCAATGTCCACGAAGCCTGGGCTCGCGTCGTATCAGCCGCTGAGGCGTACAGCCCGCTGGCAGTGCGCGTCTATGGCAACGAGGCTTACCCACTTTCTGATCGATGGAACACATTCGCGGGTTCTCCCTCGCAGCCCTGCGCATTTTGAACGCCATGTACACGCGGTGCCTCCGTCGCCTCGCTGGCGAATGTAGGTTCGGCCCCAGCGTGACCGACATTGACGTGCGTCGGATTCTGAAGGCTCCGTCTTTGGACTGCCTCCTCACGCGCAAGCGGCTGGCATACCTCGGTCAAGTCGTTCGGCGCGGCCCTCCGGAGCTGCGTGCCCTCCTGGCTCGACGCGCTGACCGTCCTCCCCTACCCTGGGTCTCACAACTTGTGAAGGATTTGCGGTGTGTTTGGCGCATGTCCGCCTTGTGTTCTGCACTCCCAGATCCCGACAAGGACTTCGGGCGTTGGCTGCAATTTATCGTCAGCACGTCTGCTCGGTGGTCACAGGCTTATAATTTCATCCGTTTTTTTGAGTCAGCATGCGACCTGGGAGCAGGCGCCGTTCCTTCGCGCGACGCTCCTATTACAGCCCACCGCTGCCCTCAGTGCCCATCCTCTTTTGCCTCAGCCCGGGCTCTGAAGTCCCACGTGCGGACGAAGCACGGTATAAAGGCTCCGCAGCGCACATTTTACCTGCCCGATGGCGTCTGCCAGGTCTGTTAAACACAGTTCCGGTCTAGGCTCCGCCTGCTTGCACATTTGTGTGATAGCAGGCGTACGAAGTGTTGGGGCACTATTTGCTCCTCTCCCTCCTTCTACAATCGACTCTCGTCTGCTCAGTCTGCAGAACTTGATTCGTTGGACAATGTACAGAGGCAGAGTCGCGACGCCCGTCGTGCCAGCCATTCCCATGCACTTGCAGTGGGCCAGGCCTACACCGCGTCCGGTCGAGCGATCGGGTGCGCCAAGAGGTGACCGTCCTCCCGGCGCTCCATCGCGTTTGCTTTCTCTGCGCGCGGCCCCCGCGTTAACCGTGCATTGTTTCGTCTTTTACTTGCGGCGGTCTTTCTCGAACCTTGGGGAATAAACAGTTGAGTGATCCTAGCTAAGTTCTCCGCTCCTTTGCAAGATTTTCCCAAGCAGCGGATCTCGAGGTGACGGAAATCATTTGTCGCACAATTGCCACTTTCATGGCAGAACAACATGCAATACTTCGGCCGCTCTCCAAGCTTATGTGAAGGATGCAAACCCCCTCCCGCCCAGGCCCTTCCGCCTACCACCTCCCGCAGCCCTGGTAGCACTGTTAAGGACGGGTGGGGGTGGGGCCGGCGGGGCTGGCGGAGGGGCGCACGGAGTGCGACAGAAATCCAGCAAGGCAGAGGCATGTACGCGCTGCAGACTTCACGTCGCCACTTCGCTCCATCCTGGACCATTTTGTGGTCCGATTTCCACAGAGCTATCTTCACGCCTCCGCCACCGGACACCCGATGCGCGGTATGGTCAGCCGTCGCATCCATCGCCCACAGCCAGGGAGAGGTCCCTGTCCGTGACCAAGCGGCCCGCGTCCTACTCTTCAGCGTGTGAGGGCACAAACTCCAGGCAAACGTCCGTACCATCTGCCGCCGCCCGAATTCTAGCCCAGAGGTCCTCATTGGGCCCTCTGGTGGCCCTACTTTTTCTTCTGGGCCAGGCTTTTAAAGCACCCTGATGGTTAGTGACGAGGTGCACCGATCCTGTGATCTGCTCAAGGGCAATCGCAAGGGCCAGAGTCTCCGATCGCGTCGCTGACTGTCGGAAGCCAGGGAGCGGCGCTGCTATCATCGCGCCCAGGCGCCAGCTAGCTTCATGCCACAGGCCAGGTCAGCAACTGCAGCTGCACACCTACGGTGACGCTGATCGTCCGAGTACTTCCCTCCCGACCCGTCCCCAAACAGAGTCAGAACCCCATCCCTCCGATAGCCACCCAGCTCACCAACCCCGAAAAACAATGCTTCCTGGGCCAATCGCTCTTCATCGAACCTGGGGGTGGTGAGGTGAGTTGGCAAAATGCTCCTCGGCCAGACCGAGGGTTCACTCCCCGCGCCACCAGGTGCTCCGACTTGGCGAACTCACTGCCCTCGCTGACGTTCGCCATGCACCGCCAGATTTTGTGCGTCAGCGTCTCCGGCTCCAGTGCGCAGCGTGGGCAGACCGCGCTGACGGCGTAGCCGCACCCTCGCTTCCTGGCACGGCTCCACTGCCCGCCGCAGATCACCGCCATCGTGCGGCTCCGCTCTGCCCACATGCCTCTGCGAGCAAATCGGTCGAGCTCGCGTCTCACGTGCAGCATGTCCGCGCCAGTCTCCAGGTTGCTGCCGTCCTCATGGGGACTCATGGGCCGCAGCCGAGTTCCACAGCTGACGCCTGATGTCCTCGCGGAGGTCGTGCAGGATGGGCTGCCGATCGATGAAGCTCCCGTAGGCCTCCGAGCTCGACTCCACCAAGTGCCACTCCGTGATCGTACTGTGCATTTCAGGTCTGCTCCACGTGCTGGCCGTGCGCGCATCCCAGCCCACGCCCATGAGCGTGGCCAGGAGCGTTCCGCCGGGCCCCGCACGCGGCGCCAGCGCCGACCAGCGCTGGCTGTCAGGAGCGCGCCGCGGATTGCAGGCCAGACTCTCTTGATCCTTGCGTGGGCATCAGGCGCCGTCTTCCACAGCTCCAGCCACGAGTCCACCAGCTGCAGACGCAGCTTGACGGCTGGGTCCTCCTCGAGCCCTGCCGCCAAGACCGTGGTGAGGCAGCGGCCTCCAGACTGGCCTCCAACAACTGAGCCCGCCTGCTGCCGCAGCTTCCTGACGCTCGTCGGCGCCAGGCCCTGGAGCTGGTGGCCGTAAGTGGCCTGAGGGGAGCCCCCCCGTGCTCCAGGAGGAGGAGGAGGAGGAGGAGGAGGAGCAGGAGGGAGAGGGGGGGATGGATGAGGAAGTAGGAAGAACAGGCGGATGAGGAAGATGAGGGGAAGAGGAGGAAGGCGAGCAGAAATGCCAGAGGCCTCTTGGATGCACCTCGAAGTCTCTTCGGAGTTTTATTTTTTGAGAGCTTCTCGGAGTCCTCTTGGGGCGTCTTGGAGTTCTCTTGGCAGTCCCAGGGGCCTCTTGTGGGTTCTCGTGTGCCTCTGTGTGGCCCCTTGGGAGTTTCTTGGGAGCCTAATGGGGGCGTCTTGGGGGCCTGACGGGGGCCTCTTGGAGCCTCCTCGGCACCTCTTGGGGCCGTCTAGAGGCACCCTTTTTGGAGGAGATCGATCAAAAGGAGGGGAGCTCCTCAAGTAGCCCCCCCCCCAGGAGGCCAAAAAAGATCCTCTGACACCTGGCGAGGTCTCCCTTCCAGGTCTAGGGGTAGGGGGTAGGGGGAGGGATCAAGACGCACTCCCCGCCCGCAAGCTGTCTTGCTCGCTCCCACCCGCGCCCCCAACACATAAGTAGCACTCGAGCCGCAGCGTGTTCAGCGGCAGTCTTTGGATAGACAGCTACATAATGGGAGCCAACACCGACCCCATGTGCGCAACGCTGGGGCGAGGTGCGCCACGCGCGCGCCAGGTGTGCCAGGCACCCCTGTGCGCCACATGCGCCACGTGCTCCACACGCGCCACGTGTGCCGCGTGCTCCAGCCGCGCCAGGTGCGCCACGTTCGGGCTACGCGCAGAGTGCCAGGTGCGCCTGCGCTCGTGGCAGTACGCATTCGGAAATGTGTCGGCCCCCACCGCCCTTGTCGAAAACCAGTGCGCAATCGCGGCGGGGTCGCCATCGTAGTGTCTGGTGGGCCTGTACACAGGAGGCAGCATGCCAGCAATCCCGCCGTCCCAGTCAAAAACCAATGCACTGATCGCGGGGCGCTCGTGCATGATCCCGATTTTACCTAGAAGTGCATGTTGTATTGTTTTTGACAGGGATGCTGGCCCCGCGCGCAGGAGGCAATGTGCGGGCCCCCCGCCCCCATCCCTATCACAAAACAAAGCGAAGTTCCCGCGTCCCCCCGATCATGACCCAAGGTTTTGCCCCAAAGCGGACCTCACATTGTTTTTGGACAGGGATGGTGGGCGGGGGGTCTGCATTGGTCCTGGTTGGCTGCCAGTCGCCTGAGGGAGGAAGTATTCATTGGGAACTCGTCCGTCTCCTCCCCCGTCCCTGCCTTCGTCCCTTACTTCTCCTCCTCCTCCTCTTCCTCCTCCCTATCTTCTCTTCTCTTCTCTTCTCTTCTCTTCTCTTCTCTTCTCTTCTCTTCTCTTCTCTCCTCCTCCTCCTCCTCCTCCTCCTCCTCCTCCTCCTCCTCCATCTCCTCGTCCTTCCCCTCCCCCGTCCCTTCCTACGTCCCTTACTTCTCCTCCTCCTCCTCCTCCTCCTCCTCCTCCTCCTCCTGGGACCCCTGGCGTCAAGGGACCCCTGGCGTCAAGGGAGTGGTCGTGGAGGCAGGAGCAGCACGGAGGGGGTACGCCCACCTGGAGCAGATGCGGCTGCCCCTGCTGCGGCCGCGCCTGCGGGGGGAGGAGCTCCTGCACTGGCTTCCGCCGCAGGGCTGCCCGCCAGCGTGGCGCAAGAGCTGGAGCGGATCCTGGCCGAGGCGACGGCCAACCTCAACGCGACGACGTCGGCGGCCCAGGCACAGATGGCCACGGTCGTCGCCACCCATGCTCAGGAGTGCTCGGCTCGATTCGCGGTGGTCGACGCGGACGTCGCCCGCATGCGGGAACGACAGCACAGGCTCGAGGCGTCCAACGAGGAGCTGCGCGTGGCTGTCCAGAGCATCACGGAGGCCCTGGAGCGCGCGGAGGCCCAGGTCCCACTGTTTCAGGCAGCGAGGCAGGAGATGTGGGACAGGCCTGCGGCTCCGAACCTCTTCCAGATCCAGGTCGAGTCGGGCGTCACGAGCGCGGAGATCATCGTCGGTCTTGAGGAATGGTTCAAGGCTGCCATGGTGTCGAGTGGTCAGTACTCGCTCCACTCCCTCCCGTCTGGGAAACACTACGTGCTGGAGCTCACGGGCGGCGTGGTGGGCTACGAGCGCGCCAAGAGGCTGGCCACGCACCTCCGCACGCCGAGCGGATGGAGGAGCTTCACGGCCGGCTGCCGCAGGATGTACATCAACATGGACAAGTCCAAGCGCTCCCTGCGGGTGGAGCTGCACACCAAGCGCCTTGGCCAGGCTCTGGAGGAAGTGCGCGGAGGAGCTGGGCGCTGGTGGCCAAACAAAGCGAAGGGGGAGGTCAAGTTTGACAACGTGGAGGTGGCCAGCGTCCTGGTCACGGAGGAGGATGCCCCGACGGAGCTGCGCTGGAACAGCCCGATGGTGGCAAACTTGGGCATCGACAAGAGCAAAGTGCAGGAGGTGTTCAATCGCATGGTCGGCAGTGGGTCCAGAGAAGTACAGTGGTGTCCCTAACACTTGCTCGGCGCGTTGGCGCCCGTGGCAGTACCAATATGAGGAAGTGTTCAACAGTCCCCTGAAGGTCATCTCGTGGAATGCGCGCGGTCTGCTTCTACGGGATCCTCTGCGTAGACGACGCAAGCTAGCAATTTTGCGGTCATATATGGCGAAGAAGTATGTGATTATGGTGCAGGAGACGCATGGTGCGGCGGTCATATTGGAGGCGTTCGTGCGCTCGCAGCCCTTCTCCTACAAGACCCACTTCTCTGCTCTTCGCGATGGGCGTGGCGGCGGTGTGGCCACGCTGATCCCATCATCAGAGCTGCATGAATGGGAGGAGTTGCATCCATCGTGGCACCCAGTCTCGACGACTACGGAGCTGGTCCCTGGACGAGTGTTAATGGTGAAGATCAGTGTGGTGGCGCGGAAGCCCGACTCGGTGACGCACCTGCCTGCAGAGGCTGACGAGTGCCGCGTCGGGGTCACCCTCATCAACGTGCACAACCACGATCTCAGCGCTGAGGACAAATCGAGAGTGGCGACAGCATGGCGTAGGGCAATGAGGGAGGCGCGCAGGTCCCCGCTGCAGGAGCTCTGTGTTGCTGGCGGCGACTTCAATCTACCAGTGGGTGATCGGCGCTACTACCGCATGCCGACGCCGACGGCGATGAGGTCCCCCGTGCGTGACCACCAGGCCAGATCCTTCTGGCGGGACCTCTTCGACGAGAGCGTGGAGATCAACGGCAAGGATGCCACGCACTACGACAGGCACTCGGACTCCGCCTCCACGCTGGACCGCTTCTTCACCAGCCTGCCGAGGGACGCGTGCCCTTGCCTCCGTGCTACCCGCACGGTCGACGCGGACCCTGCGACGCTGTCGCTGCGCAGGTTGAGTGATCACGGGGTAGTGGGGCTCGTACTGGGTCTCCGCAAGGAAAGGCCGATGGCGGAGAGGAAGATCCCCGCCTTCGTCTTCAAGTCGCAACAGTATCCAAAGTATTTCAAGGATTTGCATGCTGCCGAACAGGATATGCTTCGCAGTCGGGGAACTGACGGAGACGTTCATGAGGAGTGGGCTGCTGCCAAGCGGGCCATGGTCTCAGCGGTGAAGGCCACGAGGAACCACATGATTGCGCTCGCCGACCTGCAGAAAGTTTCGCAGGGCGCGGAGCTCAACGCCCTGGTGATGCGCTCGGCGGCCAGGACGGTCTGGACGAACGACGGCACCACGGCGCGCTTGCTGATCCAGTCCTCCCCTCTGGCTCGGAGGCACCTGCGCATCCAAGATGGCAAGGTGCTGGCGAACGACACCCTGGTTTTCGGGGAAGTCGTGCGCGCCACCACGGAGCGTATGCTGGATGAGCGGCGTCAGGACGCTGCGAGACGCGCCCGCCGCGCCTTTGCGACGGCGCAGGCTCAGGAGGGTGAGTACTGGAAGCGGAAGCAGGGCAGCATAGTGAAGAAGGCCCAGCTGTGGCTCCGCAAGCTGCCCGTTTGGCAGCTGAGCGGCGTCAAGGTGTGTGTGTGACGGAAGAGCTCCCTGCCCCGCCTGCGTTGGAGAGCGTTTCCGAGCGGCCATCTGATGTCACGGTGAAGAACGCCGACGCTATGCTGGCCGCGGTGCGCGAGTACTGGGGCCCCATCTTCAGGAAGAAAGATATCGACGAGGAGGCGGCGAGGGAGTACATTGAGCGATGGTTCGCGCCCGCTAGTGCACGCGAGGACTTTGCCTTCAGCGAGGAGGATCTACTACGAGCAGCTCAGCGTGGACGCGACGTGGCCCCTGGACCTGACAGGCTGCCCTACGTCGCCTGGGCGCGGTCGCCTGCAGCGGTGGCCTGGCTGTACCGGCTTTGCCAGGAGGCGCTCGCGGGGCTGGGCTTCCCCGACGACTTCAACCACGGGCTGCTGGTCCTGATCCCGAAGAGTGGGGAGGCGTTCAGCGAGTCGGAGGTGGTGCGTCGGCCTGGTGCGCTAAGGCCGCTCATGCTGCTCAACACGGACAGGAAGATGATCGCGACCGTGGTCAACCATGAACTTGCAGGGGTGGCGAGGAAGGAGGCCTCGGCGGTCCAGCATGGGTTCGTCCGTGGCAGGACGTTCATCCCGAACATCATCAAGCTGGACCTGATGGCGCGCACATTCAGCGCGCTCAGTGAGACGAAGGGAGGGCACCCCGCGCTGATCACGTTCGACGTGAAGGCGGCGTTCCCCAGCGTCAGCCGTTTCTGGATGGCGCTGGTCCTGGACAAGTGCGGCCTCTGCGATTCCGTGAGGACCCTGATCGGCGCCATGTACGACAAACAGATGGCATGGCTGCGGGTAGGCGAGGACTTGCTGGAGGCCTTCACTGTCACGGCGGGTGTGGCGCAAGGCTGTCCGATGTCGGGCTCGCTCTGGGCGTTGCTCTTCTCGCCCTTCCTAGAGCACATGGCCTTCGTCCTGGACATGCCGTGGCGGTGGGAGTCCTGGGAGCCAGAGCTGCCCATAGTGCAACGCAAGGGCGACGTGGAGGGCTGCGCGGATGACGTGGGGATGGTGCTCCGCGACCTGGCCCTGCTGCCGCGGATCGGCCCGATCTTCATGGCGATGCAGACGCTGGCGTGCCTGGAGCTCAACCTGTCCAAGTGCTTCCTGGTGCCGCTCTGGGCGCCGATTACGGAGGCGATCGTGGTCTACGTGGAGAGCGTGCTCGAGGCGAGCACCGCGGGCTGGTCAGGCTTCTCGGTCGCCTCCATGACGAAGTACTTGGGCTGCTGGCTGGGGCCTGGCGCCGACCTCGCCAGACAGTGGCACGACCCTGCGGCCAAGTATGCGGCGAGGACGAGGGCGCTGGGCGCCAGTGCCCTCTCCAACGATGCAGTGGTCCAGGCGTACAACGGGCTGGCGATCCCGCGCCTGCTCTATGTAGCCATGCTCTTCCCGATCCCCGACGGGCTCGTGGACAAGGAGCTGGACTTGCTGCACGTGCTGCTGCGCGTACCGCCGAAGTCGTTCAGGAAGGACTGCCTCCTGGCGCTGGGCTCCTCCCTGGGCGTCACGGCGCCGCTCTCCCTCTTCGCCTCGGCGATGGCTGCGAGGATGAGGGCGGCGATCAAGCTGCCGACGGAGTGGCTCGCCCTCCTCGAGGGCGTCGAGAACTTCTTCAAAGACGTGCGGGGCGAGGCGCTGTGCAGGCTAGCGGACCTGCCGACCGACCTCTTCACGCCGGCGTGGTGGCAGGACCGCCGTGGGCCTGCGCGTCATCTCAGGGACGCCCTGGTGTGCTGCACGCCGACCAGCAGGCCCAGGAACCGCCGTCGGACGGAGGCCTGCCTGCGCGCCGCGAAGAGGCGCTCGCAGGCAGTGGAGGCTGCGTGGCTGGCGCAGCCCCATCGTGAGAGGAGGAAAAAGCGTTTTTCCTTCCAGTCCACCTTCCGCTCCATCCTCTCGTCTCTCCTCTATCTTGACTCCTTTCCTGTCACATTCAGGAAGAGGTTGGCTGCGTGGCAGGTGCGTGCGCCCGCCACCCGTGTGTTGGCGCAGAGATGGGAGGCGCTTAAGAGCGTCCTTCGTAATAAAGGGAGGGGGGTGAGGTGGGCGGTGATCAAAGTAATGTGCGGAGCATGGCCCACAGCGGCCAGAATGCATGTCACGAACGTCCGTTCGGCCCCTTGTAAATTCGGTTGTGAGAATGGATCTGACAATATGTCCCACTATCTGAGATGTCGGCACCTGTGGTGGGCTGCCTGTTTTCCTCGGGATTTTTGTTCCAACTCTGTATTAATGAAGCTTTGTCTTGGGTCCCCTCGGGACCATGCCTCGACCCCCGATGATTCGCTCGATCGGTCGGTCTTGAGGCTTAGCCTGACGCACCAGTTGCACGCTATCATATCAGCGCATCCTGGTTCTGGGCCACAGCACTTACTTCGTTGCCTAGAAGCTGCACGTGCACGCACGGGTAGGTAGGCGACTCTTCCTCTGGAGCGACGTTCGCTCCTCCTCCTCCTCCTCCTCCTCCTCCTCCTCCTCCTCCCCTCTTCTATCCTCCTCGGGCTCTGCTCCCCCAGGTGCCCCAGGCGTCCAGCGCCCTGGAGCTCGGCGGCGCGCGGCACACGTTCTCGACCAGCGACCGGGCGGACGCGGGCGGCCCCTCGCGCGCCAAGGGCGTCATCGCCGCGCTCCTCGCCGGCACCTCACGAGCGGCGAGCGTGCGTATCCACACGACTTCGCGGGCCGGACTCCGGGGCGCGAGCCCACGGATACGCGGTCGCACGGAAACGTTCCGCGCGGGGCACCCGCGGAAAAAACGCTCCGTATCCGCAGGGTCGCGGCCCAGGGGCCTGGCCCGCGAGGCCATGAGTACAGATGTGTGTTCCCGCCCGCAAGGCACCTGCTACGGCCTGAACTTCCTGCCGTCGACCTTGATCCAGGACTACACCCAAGGGGCGTCGAAGGACGGGCTGGATTACGTGTTCAACCAGTTCTGTGGGATTCTTGCGGCGTCCATCGTGTACTTCCTGGTGTACTGCGCTGCGACGGGCAACAGGCCCTTCGTCAACCCACAGATTGTCTTGCCGGGCTTCTTCTCCGGAGTCATGTGGGCTACGGCCCAGGCCGGGTGGTTCGTCGCCAACGTCGACATCGGCTACTCTGCGGCCTTCCCGATCATAGTGATCGGGCCCGGCGTCGTTGGATCCATGTGGTCCGTCCTCTTGTTCAAAGACATACGCGGGCGCCGCAACTTCTACCTGCTGGGGACGTACTTCGTCCTCGCGGTGGCCTCCTGCGCCTGCATCATCGCGTCGCGGAAGAGCACCCCCGAGTGCGAGAGGTGAGAGGGAGGCGTGCGCCCCGCTGGCCCCTTCCTGGCGATTTGAGCGCGACTCTCTCGGTAATGTCCCAAGACCCCGCTGACCTCGCGGTCTGGGCGCCTAAGCTCGGAGAAGAGAGAAGCAGCTTAAGCATATAAACTTCCGGAGGTCCGCGCGGCTCTCGCGGGTCGGCGTTGGACCCCCCCTGGCGACGCCGGCCCAGGGGAGGGAGGTCCAGCACCGATCCGTGAGATCCGCGCGGACTCCAGGAGTGTATGTTTAAGTCTACTTGTCTTTTTTTATATCCAGCTGCCTGCGGCAAGTCCCGCCACCGTGCCAGTCCAGCAGGTTGGATGGCGGCTGTTCGAGAGGGCACGGGAAGCTGTCACGTGTAATACTTCGGGCCTCTTGTTGGTTTTGGGGGCCTCTTGAGGAATTCTTGGGGGCCTCTTGGGGCCTCTTGGGGCCTCTTGGCAGCACCTTCGGGGTACCTCGGATGCTCTTGGGGGCTCCGTGGGCCGTCTGAGGCTCTTGGGCCGTTTTGGCGCTTTCAGAGTCCATCTTGGGAGGCTACCTGTGTTGTCAGGGGGCTATCTTGGGGACCTTGAGGGCCGTCTGATCGCCTTCTTGGGCCGACTTGGGGCCTCTTGGGCCGTGTTGGGGCCCTCTTTGTGCCATCTTGGGCCGTCTTGAGGCCATCTTGGAGGCTTCTTGGGTTGTCTTGAGCCGACGAAAGCTCGAAACGGCGAGAATGCATAAATCCTTCCAATACCAACTCAAAATCAATGATTTTGGCCGGGCTTTGCTGGAGGCCCTATTGGAGAGGCCTCCTGGGCCGTCTCGAGGCCATCTTGGGCCACCTGAAGCCGTCATGGAGGCCTCTTGAACCATCTTGGCGGCCTTGGTGGCCTGCCAGGTCCGTCTTGGAGGCCATCTTGAAATCTTGGGCGTTTTGGACGCCCTGGAGAGCGCCAGAGAGGCGTCTTGGCCGCCCAGGGAGCCCCATAGGGAGGGGTGTAGTGCAGGCGGTGTGGGGGCGATGAGAGGGGTGGGTGGGTGCCTTAGAAGACTGCAGACCCCCTGCCAGACAGCACTTGGCATTTTTCCACGCCTCAATGTGTACAAGGCACGGTGGCGGATAACAGCAATCCCCCGGGCTCGCGATCCCTTGGATGCGCCCCGCGCGTGGCCCTCCAGGGGATCGCGGAGGACACTCAGTGCTTGTATCCGTGGGGTCGCGTGGCCGAGGAATCTGGTCGCCAAAGCGCATGGATGTGGAGATGCACGTCCTCATGATGTATAGCTCCTCTGGTTCATTTGTGCAGCTGTCCAGCTTGGTCGTTGGACCCCGCTCGTTCTCCTGCCACGGCGATTGTCGGAATTTTTTTTGACCTCGCCAGGTCGGATTCACTCCCTTGGCGCTTTCGGGTAGGCGGAGTGGCGCCGGAGGCGCCGCCAGGGGGCTCCAGCGCCGATCCCCGAAATCCGTGAGGACCTCTTACAGATTATGTCTATGCTGTTTTGGACTTTTGAAGTATTCCCCTCCCTGCTGCACAGTCGGAACAGTTGATTAGCGTGTCGCGCCGCAAGTTCTGGCCCACCGCGCTTCGGCGCGACACGCTATGCACGTCCCAGTCCCCACGCGTCAACGTTTCGAGTTTCGCCCAGCCTCCCGCAACGCGGAGCGGAACGACACGCCATCCGCTTGCAGGGCGTAGCGTGTCGCTGGGGCAGTCGCCGCGACACGCTAAGCAAAAGTGCTCGATTGTGTTCCCCGTCCTCCTTTACACCTACGCCTCCGCCTGGTGCTTTTCCACCCGCTTGGCTCATTATGTTCCTGGTCCTGCGCGTGTTCCCGGTCCTGCTCCTTCCCTTCCTCTCCCTCCTCCCTCTCCGTTCCTCCTCCTCCTCCTCACCTCCTCCTCCTCCTCCTCCTCCTCCTCCTCCTCCTCCTCCTTCCGTAGCCATTTTGGCTCAAGCCATTTTGGCTCAAATCACCATGTCGCGCTGCGGTCGCATGGAGACCTCTGAGCCGAGGCCAATCGCCAACTGCTTCCAGCCACAACCAGGGGTGGGCTGGCACCCAAGCTTTCTGCCGCCACATTCAGGGGCTTGCGGCCGCCCATTCCTGCTCATTGTTCTGGCATTGCAGGCTGCCATCCATGTCGCGCTGTCGAGCGGCCCGACTACCGTCGCCGTGAACCAGCTGGACTTCGGCCTGACTGACGTCGCCGTCTTCCGCTTCCATAACCAGCTGGACGTCGACCCGCTCGTTCCCCAGCAGCAGCAGCCGCCACGTGGTGGCACCGCGAAGGCCCTGGAGTCTGGCGCTCTCACCCTCAACTTCCTGAAGCAGAACAGCAGCCTGTCCGACAGCAGCCCACAGTCGCAGCCATGTCATCTTCCAGCGAAGAACGCTCTACCTCTCGCAGTGCCCCATTTGCCAGCCGCAGAAGGACAGATCGCCGACGAGAGCGTGAACGACACGACCAAGATCGCGCCGATCGAGGTCACCCAGATCGTGCTGATAAAAGTGGTCGAGCAGCTGCAGTGCGTGCCACCCTGGACTCGTTCGGCGACGCAGGCTTCGCTACCCAAGCAGCGCCGCGCCCGGGGCGCGCATCTGGACACGCCGCTCGTCCTTGTCGATCTTCAGCTCGCGCACACCAGCAGCCGCCCCACTTCGCCATGGACATTGGAGAAGAAGAAGCCGCATATTCAGCACGTGCCGCCGCCGCCGCCACCGCACGCCAATTTCAAGCAGGTGAGTGGACCGAGCCGCCGTCTCAACTACCAGGTGAAGCACTACGCCATGACCCACTCGCTGCTGCTGACCCATGGCGCGCTGGAGGTGCAGCAGCCGCTGGAGGAGCTGCCGCCGTCGGAGCCGCCGCCGATGCCGAAACTGCCACTCCAGGCGAAGCCGTTCGCCTGCCAGGTCTGGATCCAGAACTCGACAAAGCTCTTCAAGATCTCATGCAAGCTCAAGTCGCACACGCCGCCAGTACTTTCCAAGCTCAAGCCAAACAACTGCTCAATGATTCACGCGAAAGCTTTCGCCAACTTCTCGCACAGCAAGTCCAAGCTACTGAACGCCGAGTTGACACCCTTCATGATGTCGTCGCCCGCACTCGTAGAGAACAAGACCGCCAAGCAGATGAACAGAAACAGATGTGGCAGCAGATCGACCAGATGCGAGAGACCCTCGCGCTCGCCGAGGCCCAGGCGCCGATCGCGGACCTCACCAGGCTCGCCGACTGGGACCGCGAGATCGACCCCGCGATCTTCACCGTCGGGGCGCAGCGGCTCATCGCGCCCGACGCGCTCCTCAACGGCCTGCAGGAGTGGATCGCCTCCGCCAACCTGGGCTCCGACGCCGTCGACCTTTCGCGGAGACGAGCCTGCGTGCAGATTTGTGCTGCAAGTCAAAGGTGGGCGCGACGTGGCCATCCCGCGCGCACTGGCGCTCACCCGAGCCCTACGCGACGCTGGAGGCAAATGGAGGCGCTTCACCTCCGCCGACACCTCGGGCACGCCGGCGGACATCTACCTCAACCCTTGACAAGTCGCCAAAGCAGATCCGCACCGAGATCCAATGCAAGAATCTTCCCCAGCTCCTTCAACGCCGTCATCCCCGAAAGTCATGGAGAGCATACCGAGCCAAGGGCGAGATCCACTGCAGCGCCATGCCCGTCGCGCGCCTGGGCGTCAATGGACAAGCCGACCCCGCCATCCTGGAGTGGAACGAGAAGGCGTTCGAGCTCGCCACCTTCCGCGACCTCGATCGCGGCGCCATCCTCGCGTCGTTCCAGGCGCTCTTCGCGGACGCAGCGGAGGCCAATTGGCGGGTTTTGCCACCCATGGGCGCCGTGGAAGCCAGTCGAGGACGATAGGCCCAGCTTATTCATCACGTGGAACGCTAGGGCCCTCATGTGCCACAAGCGCTCCAAGCGCCGTCGCAAGCAGGCGGCCTTGCAGCAGTACGTGCGGAAGGGCGCCGTCATCTCCCTGCAGGAGGTCCATGGTTCGGGGGCGCTCCTCCGCACCTGGGTCGACACGCAGCCGTGCCCGTACAAGCTCTTCTTCTCCCAGTTCGTTGCGGCAGACGACGACGAGGCCCTCGCTGGCACGGGCGGCGTCGCTCTGCTCATACCGTGGCTCGCGCATGCGCAGCCCGAGCTCTTGCAACCTGCGCAGCTCCCAACCCTCAGCCACGAGGAGATCGTCAAAGGTCGCGTCCAGGCGGTCGCCATCACCAACGCCACCTCGCGCAACTCCATGGTCATCATGAACGTCCACAATCACGAGATTGACGCGCGGGGTCGCGAGCGCATTCGGCGCTCCTGGCACCAGCACCGCGCGCGGGCGGAGGCCAACTACCAGCACCGCACCTTCCTCGCGCTGGGCGATTTCAACGCGGCCAGCCGCCCGCCGAACAGCTTCTTCCAACCGCAGCCGCAGCGTGCACGCCTGGCGCTGGACAGTAGCGCGCGGCAGCAGCAGCCCTTTTGGAAGGCCCTCTTCGACAGCGAATCGAGTCTGACCTGCCGACGCGCTTCAACGAGTCTGACTACTCCGCGTCGGCCATCGACAGGATCTTCATCAGCCTGCCGTCGCATGCGATGCTCGAGCTCACTTCCTGCGTCACCATCGCACACGACGCTGCCATCCTGTCGGGTAGCCTCCTCAGCGACCACGCCATCGTCTCGTACTCCATCGGCATCAAGCCGAAGACTCCGATCGAGGAGCAGGAGATCCCGCCCGCGATCTTCCGCGACCAAACGTACGCCAAGTACCTCCAGCAGTTGCTAGACCACACCGTCACGCGCCGCAGGACTATCGAGAACCGCTGGCGCGCGCGCACAAGACCCTCATGGTTGAGGCCGCGCGGCTCGTCCGCGATGATTGGTCAGCCGCGCAGCCGGCGAGATCGGCAAGTCAAACTACACCGACGGCCAGGTGATCACGGCGCGTTCGATCTCGCGCGCGGTCTGGCGCCAGGACGTTCGCCTTGCACGACGTCTGCAGTCCACCACCGAGCTTGGCGCCAAGTTCCTCACCATCGACGACGGACACATCGCGCTCTCGGATGCTGCCGAGTTCGCCATGAAGTCTGCCGCGCTGCACCGTTACTTCGAGGCTCGGCAGCGCTCTCTGGCACAGCGTGCAGCCCAGCTGCCGCGAGGCTCCCCAGGAGCCATCGACCCCAAGAAGCTCAGGAATTCCACCCGATCTTCCCAGCGCAGGGCCCTGCTTCGGGCCCGATTGGAAGCGCCGCCTGGCCCCCCAGGGAATCAGCGCCACCGATCCCGAGGGCCGCCCAGGGGTAGCCAGAGAGAGCTGTGCGATGGTGGATGCTCTCCGCGCTCACTGGCGGCCCGTCTTCGAGCGCAAGCACGTCGACGCCGACGAGGTCCAGCAGTACATCGACGAGCACATGCCCAGCCATCCCATCATTGACGTCGGCGCGCCCGCCAAGTTGCACATCAGAGGCTTTCTGCTTCGCACGGCGCCGTCCGCGCCTGGGCCCGACCTCTTGCCGCACCGCGCCTGGCTCGCCGTGGGCGCGTCCCTGGACCTGCTGGAGGACCTTGCCTGGCACCTCTGCTCCAACCCTGGCTTCATCCACGACCTGAGCGACTCAGATTTCGCGTTCCTGCCGAAGGGCGACAACCTCACAGGCGAGCTCACCACGGACCGCCTGCCTGAGGACACGCGCCCGCTGTCCCTCAATAACACAGATATCAAGGCCATCGCAGGTGCGGCCAACTTCCTCATCAAATCCGCTGTGGCAGAGCGGACTCATTACTCGCAGCAGGGCTTTGTCGTGGGCCGCAGTTTCATCAGGCACATCGTCAACCTCGACGCCGAGATGCGCCGCGCTGGAGTTCGTCCAGAGGCCGACAAGCACAAGCCCGTCTTCGCCAGCTTCGACTTCGCGGCGGCGTTTCCGTCGCTCGGACGCGTCTGGCTCTTCGCGTCGCCGGAGCGCTTCGGCGTCCCCGAGGGCCTGATGAGCGTCTTTCGCCAGCTGTGCCACGCCCCCAACAGCTTCCTCAAAGTTGACGGCGTTCGCCACTTCATGTTCCCGATCGAGTCTGGCGTGGCTCAGGGCTGCCCTGCGAGCGGCTCGGCGTGGGCGATCGCCATGGACCCGCTCGTTCGCCGCATCGCCTCGTTCGTCGAGACCGTCGACGGCATGCCTGACTACGACAAGGGCTACCTGGGAACCTGCGCGGACGACGCTGGCCTCCTCACGTTCTCGTTCAACACGCTGCGCGCTGCCTCTGAGCCCTGTGCCGCAGCGGAGGAGCTGGCGCTCCTCTCCCTGAAGCCTCGCAAGTGCGTCGTCGTCCCGCTTTGGGCGAAGACGCCGCCTGCCACCATCGCTCAAACGAAAGCGCTCCTGGCCGAACTCTGTCCTTCCTGGGGTGGCTTTTCGGTTTCGGGGCGAGCCAAGTACCTCGGGACCTTCCTCGGACCCGCGGCCCCCCTCGCTCACCAATGGCTCGCCCCTGGGCAGAAATCGTGGCCGCGCGGGAATACTTTACAGCTTGCGCAGAGTGGCAGTGACGCCACCGTTCGCCTTCATAACACTTCAGTCGTTTTCAACGCTCAGCTATGTCTTCTCGCAGTTCTTCCCGCTCGATCAGGAGATTGCCCGCCGTGAACATTGCATGTTCCATCAGATGCTCAGTCTGCCGCCTAACACATTTCGCGAAGTTGATCTCATTGCCATGGCGGAGTGGTGCCCACCTCCTGTCTCTCGCTCAGCTCAGATTTCAATTGTCGCCGCCGCCATTCGTTCAGCCACTTTCACGCTCCGTGGGGAATGGGGGCCATTCTTCACGCGTGCCGCCCCGTTTCCAGCAGCTGCCGTGGCCGCGGCGAACCG